AGAGACCAAAAACACAATACAGAAAATCAATGAAACCAAGAGCTGGTTCTTTGAAAGGATAAACAAGATTGACAAACCTCTAGCCAGGCTCACCAAGAAGCAAAGAGAGAGGACCCAAATAAACAAAATCAGAAACGATAGAGGCGAAATAACAACAGACCCCACAGAAATACAAATGATTGTTAAAAAATACTATGGACAGCTCTACTCCAACAAACTAGACAACCGGGAGGAAATGGACAAATTCCTAGAAAAATACAACATTCCAAAACTCAATCAGGAAGAATCTAAAAATCTCAACAGGCCAATAAGTATGGAAGAAATTGAAGCAGTCATCAAAAAGCTTCCAGCAAACAAAAGCCCAGGACCAGACGGCTTCACAGGGGAGTTTTACCAAACATTCAAGGAAGAACTAAAACCTATCCTCCTCAGACTACTACAAAATATTCAAGAGTAAGGAACACTTCCAAGATCATTCTATGAAGCCAGCATCATCACCATAATACCAAAACCAGGTAAAGACAACACAATGAAGATAATTACAGGCCAATATCCCTCATGAACATAGATGCCAAAATCTTCAACAAAATCCTAGAAAATCGGATTCAGCAGTACATCAGAAAGATCATACACCATGACCAAGTAGGATTTATCCCAGGGATGCAAGGATGGTACCATATCTGAAAATCAATAATCGTGATACATCACATAAACAAATTGAAAGAAAAAAACCACATGGTCATATCAATTGATGCAGAAAAAGCATTTGACAAAATCCAACACCCATTTTTGATAAAAGCTCTCAGCAAGGTGGGAGTAGAAGGATCATACCTCAACATAATAAAAGCCATATATGACAGGCCCACAGCCAACATCATACTCAATGGGCAAAAACTAACACCATTTCCCCTAAGAACAGGAACAAGACAGGGATGCCCCCTCTTACCACTCCTGTTCAACATAGTACTGGAAGTGTTAGCCATTGCAATTAGGCAAGAAGAAGAAATAAAAGGCATCCAAATTGGAAAAGAGGAGGTAAAACTGTCCTTATTTGCAGACGACATGATATTATACATACAAACCCTAGAGACTCCATCAAAAAGCTACTATACTTAATAAGTGAATTTGGCAATGTAGCAGCATACGAAATTAATCCCAAGAAATCTGAGCCATTTCTATACACCAATAGTGAACTTTCAGAAAGAGAGATTATAAAAACAATCCCATTTACCATCGTACCAAAAAAATTAAGCTACCTAGGAATAAACTTAACTAAAGAGGTAAAAGACCTCTGCTCAGAAAACTATAGGACGTTGAAAGAAGAGATAGAGGAAGACATAAACAGATGGAAGAACATACCGTGTTCATGGATTGGTAGAATCAACATCATTATAATGTCCATACTACCCCAAGCAATCTATAAATTCAACACACTTCCCATTAAAATACCAACGGCATACTTCAGAGATCTAGAACGAACTCTCCAAAAATTCATCTGGAATAAAAAAAGACCCCGAGTAGCTGCAGCAATCCTGAGAAAGAACAAAGTAGGTGGGATGTCAATACCAGATATCAAGCTGTATTACAAAGCCACTGTTCTCAAAACTGCCTGGTACTGGCACAAGAACAGGCATACAGATCAATGGAATAGAATAGAGAGCTCAGAAATCAGCCCAAACCAATATGCTCAATTAATATTTGACAAAGGAGGCAAGAACATACAATGGAGCCAAGATAGTCTCTTCAATAAATGGTGTTGGGAAAATTGGGCAGATATATGCAAAGAAAATGAAACTAGACCACCAACTTACACCACACACAAGAATAAACTCAAAATGGATAAAGGACTTAAATGTACTATGGGAAACCATAAAAATTCTAGAAGAATCCAAAGGCAAAAAAATCTCAGACATATGCCGAAGCAATTTCTTCACTGATACAGGTCCTAGGGCACTTGAAACTGAAGAGAAAATGAACAAATGGGACTACATCAAAATAAAAAGCTTCTGCACAGCAAAAGAAACCATCAACAAAACGACGAGAAAACCCACTGTGTGGGAAAACATATTTGCCAATGTCATATCTGATAAGGGCCTAATCTCCAAAATTTATAGGGAACTCATACAACTTAACAAAAGGAAGTTAAACAATCCAATCAAAAAATGGGCAAAGGACCTAGATAGACACCTTTCAAAAGAGGACATTCAGAAAGCCAAGAGACATATGAAAACATGCTCAAAGTCACTAATCATCTGAGAGATGCAAATCAAAACAACAATGAGGTACCATCTCACACCTGTCAGACTGGCTATCATCAACAAATCAACAAACGACAAGTGCTGGAGAGGATGTGGAGAAAAAGGAACACTTGTGCACTGCTGGTGGGAATGCAGACTGGTGCAGCCACTATGGAAGACAGTATGGAGTTTCCTTAAAAAACTGAAAATGGAACTCCCATTTGACCCTGTGATCCCACTTCTAGGAATATATCCCAAGAAACCAGAAACACCAATCAGAAAGGATATATGCACCCCTATGTTCATAGCAGCACAATTCACCATAGCTAAGATCTGGAAACAGCCTAAGTGCCCATCAGTAGATGAATGGATTAGAAAACTGTGGTACATCTACACGATGGAATACTATGCTGCTCTAAAAAGGAAGGAACTCTTACCATTTGCAACGTCATGGATGGAACTGGAGAGCATTATGCTAAGTGAAATAAGCTAGTCAGTGAAGGAAAGATACCACATGATCTCACTCATTCATGGATAATAGAGACCATTATAAACTTTTGAACAATAATAGATACAGAGGCAGAGCTGCCTCAAACAGATTGTCAAACTGCAGCGGGAAGGCCGGGGAGGGTTGGGGGGCAGGAGGTAGGGGGGTAAGAGATCAACTAAAGGACTTGTATGCATGCATAGAAGCATAACGAGTGGACATAAGACACTGGGGGATAGGGGAGTCTAGGGGACTGTCTAGGTCAGGGGGATAAAATGGACACATATGTAATACCCTTTGTAATACTTTAAGCAATAAATTAAAAAAAAAAAGAAAAAGAAAAAGAAAGAAAGACAAAGGGAACTACGTCAACTTGTGTCCTTTTCTCCTGGTACTGTGCAGCTGGTATAGAACCTCAGGCTTCCTTTCTAGGCACAGATTCTCTTGGTTTGAGTTGGTAATTGGCAGGGAGAAACAAAGTGAGCAAATAGATCCCACCTGCTTGAAAACAAGGTTGTGGATTATGACACAGAGGAGTAGTGGATCACAGGGAACTTCAACACTGTGCTGACTATCTGACAGGAAACAGATGTGCCAAACAGAACAGTAGAGGAAGTGACCAACCTGCACTACTTCACTTTTTTATTTTTTATATTTTACTTAAGAAACTTAATTTTTTCTCACTTGATTTTACTTTTTTATTATTATATATTTAGTTTTAATTATTATTACTACTATTATTTTACCTTTTTTAAAGTTTTAGTTTAGTTTAGTTTCTTTTTGGATTAGTGTTCTACATTCTATTTTTATATCTAGAGTCTGCTTCTGCCAGCAGCCCTGTGGACCCCCTTCCACTTTAGAGGGCTACACTGACCCAAGGACCACAGGTTTGGTGGAGCGCAGTCTTCCTCTGAGACTCTAGATCCCACTGTGCATGTTTCTCCCTCCAGCCTGGATCCCAGATCTCACCTCTCTCTAGGCCAGTGGTTCTCAACCTTGGCTGCACATTAGCATCACTTGGGAATCTTTTTAAAATCCTGATTTCCGGGCCTCATCCTCCGGAAATTCTGTTTCTTTGTTACTCATGTTGTGGCTCCACCCCATAACAAAGAAACAGAATTTACAGAGGATGAGGCCCAGAAATCAGGATTTTAAAAAGATTCCCAGGTGATTCTAATGTGCAGCCAAGGTTGAGAACCATTGCTCTAGGTGATTGATCTCTGACCTTTCTGTCCATGGGTTGCATCACCAGCTGTGTTTAATTCATCAATTCCAGGTGGATGTTATTCAGTTCAGCTGCTCCTTCTATCTGCTCTGTGAGAAGGCTCAGTGCCCGTCCACGTATTGTCTCCACTTTGTCTTCCCCTGTACAAACTTTTTAGGCGCCCATGGTTGGGGAGGCTGGAGTCTCGGTGTTTGTGGGTTCACAGCTGAGGCAGCTGGTCCCTGGGCATTGTGGTTGTTAGGGTCCTGGGAGGTATCCAAGGTCTCCCCGGTTGAAGGTAAGGCTGGGCTTCTGATCACAGCCGCTCTCCCCTTTAAGATGGTGCAGTCTCTGCAGCAGAGCTGGCCGCTCTGGGAGAGATTTCAGCAGTGGTAGAGGCTGCCCGGCCAGGGAAGCCTGGTCCACCAGTCCCCAACAGTCCTGTGGAATATAGCTGTCCCTCACTCACAAATACAGACACTCACATGTCCACACACTCTCCTTTTGCTCTCTCACTCACACACTATCTTACAGCCTACTGTCCCATCAGCAGCCATCTTCCAGATGGGATTTGACCTTTTGATTATTCATCCAACTTTTGCCATTAAATTTCTTTTTTATCTGATCTAGTTGTATAGATGACCTCTGCTATTGAGCCTCCTGGTCTTTGCTTATACCTATAATATTCTTCTTTCTTTTCCTTCATAGCTTTTTATATGTTGTATTTGCCTCAGATTGATGTCACTTCCCTATTCCTCATCACTATTCTATTGGGTGAATGGTATCCTACATATAATATCTATCATCTTATGGTGTTAATTTCAAGTTTTTTTGTCTGTATTTCCATCAGAGTATAAAATTGAGTGTAATAGCCTTGTAATCATCTCTGCATTGTAAATTCCTAAAAAATAATTATATATAAAATTTATCATTGAATAAATGAATAAAATGTTTTACATCAAATGAAGCATCTTGGCTGTAAATAACTGAAACTGTAAGAACACTAAAGCTGAAGTGACATACTCAACATCACAAGTTATTGATTGATTTACAGTCTTAAAAGAAACCTGACTTCTGCTCTGGACAGAGCTGAATACATACCTGTGAGAATAGACAAGGTGACAGTTTTTCCTGCCCCATTTTCTCCAAGAAGAATAGTGATCTGCCCTTTATATAAATTCAAAGACATGTTGTTTACTGCTACGTTGGCACCAAATTCCTATGAAATAAAAGAAAAATAACTTGATACCTGTTATTTTTCATTTGTGAAAGACAAATGCTCATATCCTCTATTCTTAGAACAATGAACATTATATAATCATACATAATGATATTTTGAACAAGAAACAATATTTGCAGGCGCACTGAGTTTGTATATTAGTCAAAGTAAGTATAAAGGCACAGGGGTATGTATATCTATCTATATTTGCTAATAAAAATGAAGACCTCTTTATATTCTATCTATAAAGAGTGTAATATAGTATTTATGGGCTTATTCAACTGTATTAAGACTCTAAATATTTATCCAGTCCTTCACAGAACATGTTTGAAAACTTTACTAAAGTGTCTCTTGGAAACTTCTAATATTTCAGTCTGAAATTAGAAATCCTGTGGTTCCTAAGAGCTCACTTAGATGAATCTAAACTCATCTGTTGGTTCCTCTCATTGGAAAATTCTAAGTAATAAGAAAACAGAAAAGGCAATTTCGGGGAATGCAGTTCATGGGTTTTCTTCTGCAATGTAGGAGACACCTTAGAAAGAGGTGCTAGTGTTGGCAAATTGACAACACTAGGAGAGTGTGTCTACAAACTCTGGGTTTCTCAATAGTAGCAATCTAGACCTTTATATTAAAGAATTTTTTGTTTTGGAGGGCTCACCTCTAATCTGTAGGATGTTTAGGAGCTTCTTTGGTCTCTACCCTGCAGATGCCAGTATCACTTCTCTCCTCATCTGTCTTTTCCTTGGTTATGATAACCAAACTATCTTCAGGTATTGTTATAGACATTTTCTGGATGGATATAATTATCCCCAGTTTAAAATGACTTTTCTAGGGAAACTAGTTTTCTCCTATGAATTCATTTACCTTATCGATGTTGATAATACTGTTTCATTCATAATCTTTTCAAAGCTATAGCTCTATATCTCCAAATGTCTACCAGAAACATAAGTTTAAATCTTTATAAATATTTCAAATTCATTGTCTATAACTCTGCTCATTATCATGTCCTGAATTTATAGTCCTCAACTGTACTCCTTAGGTCAATGAATGATCCCAAAATTCACTAAGATGTTCAAACTGGAAACCTGAATATAACCCTAAAATTCATTGCTATTAACCACTGTAGGCAATAAATCATCAATTCCAATTAATTCAAAAACTATTTACTGAATGTCGACTATATACCAGGCATTGTTCTATATTTTAGAATTACATTTAGAAGTAAGTGATACATAGTTCCACCTTTAATGAAGCTTTGGCAAAGGAAGACAGAAAAAAGCAAAGGTACATAAAATAATTATGAATTATGATCAACATAATAAATAAAACAAAGGGCTTGAAAAATGCACGGTGTGATGGTATTGCATGTGAAACAAATATTTATTTATAATAGATATTTATAATAGATATCAGGCAACAAAGGTAATGATTCTTGAGAATTGAACAGAAAATGCCCCAGCATAGTTTCAAAGCAAACACAGAGTTGAATAATTCAGACAGAGACTAAATCCAATAATTTATTCTGAGAGTCTGGTGAGGAGAGAATATTGAAGAAAAGACAGAGCATGCTGAGACAAACTTGGAGATCAAAAGTGGGGCCCCCAAGAATATTCTCGTAAGAAATGATCAGCATATGCATGTGAGGAAACTGCCTGAGAAAAGAGAAAACCATGTAGGGTTCAGAGGAAACAGTCCTTGAGACTCATCTAGGACCAGGAAGGCTGCTTGTTCCCACAGCCAGACTAGGACATTTTAAGATCCACAGAGAAGTGAGTAGATTACACAGAAGGATCTTGCCTTAATAGTGGGAAACAATTAACTTTGGACTAAGCAAAACAGACAAAAAATATTCAAAACATTTGGAAGTAACTTAATTCTTCCAAAACCAAATTTCAGGTGTATTTCAAGAAATACAGAAATGCCCAAGACCCTAAAATGTAAAGAAGCAGAAAAATTTGGCCCATAATGACAATCAATCAATCAATCGAAATAAAACTAGAACTGACACAAATGTTAAAATGAGCAGACACATTTAAATGATTATTATAAATGTATGTCATCTGTTGAAAAAGTTAAGATATTGACAATATTTAAAAAACAATAGAGTAATAAAGGCCATATATGACAAACCTACAGCCAACATCATACTCAATGAGTCAAAACTAAAACCATTTCCCCTAAGACCAGGAACAAGACAAGGATGTTCATTTTCACCACTCTTATTCAACAGAGTACTGAAAGTCCTAGCTACAACAATCAGACAAGAAGAAGAAAAAAAGGCATCCAAATTGGAAAGGAAGAGGTAAAACTCTCATTATTCATAGATGATATGATATTTTACATAGAAAATGTGCTGTGCCAGCACAGCCAAGGGTTCGGTGAGCCTGGGGCAGGGGGGTGGGGGCGGGGATGGGGGCAGCAAAGGATTAAAGAAAAGACACACAAAGAGAATATAGCTGGGGCTTGGTGGATGTCCTGTGCATGGATGAGGCCACAGAGAATGATCCAGCCAGCAAGCTGAGGCTTTATTTTATAGTCAGAGAAAAACAAAGTAGTGGTCAACATGTGAAAAAAATATTTATTTATAATAGATATTTATAATAGATACCAGGCAAGTTACAATGTTTTTGTGAGTTTCACTTGTTTTGGCAGCACTTGCTGCACCTCCCACAGCCCATTAGCTACCTAGGAAGGAACTAGGGAGGGCTATAAGGTTAAACTTAATTAAGCTAAGAGTGCTCTGACCTCCAAGCTGGGACTTGTTTGTGGCTCTGCCACAGGTCAATCCAAGGCTTAACTCTAGAGCTGCTCCCTACAGAAAACCCTAAAAACTCCACCAAAAAACTACTAGATTTAATAAAGGAATTCAGCAATGTAGCAGGATACAAAATGAGTACCCAGAAATTAACAGCATTTTTATATACCAATAATGAATTCTCAAAAAGAGAAACTAAATAAACAATTCCCATTTACCACTGCAACAAAAAGTTAAGACACTTAGAAATAAACTTAACCAAAGAGGTTAAAATGCTTATACTCAGGAAACTATGTAATATTAAAAAATGAGATATACCAATGGACATGGACAACAGGGGGATGAGAGCATGATTGGAGGGGGGAGGGAAGTTAGGGATTAATGGGGGGATGAAGACACATTTGTAATACCTTAACCAATAAAGAAATTAAAGATTTAAAAAATGAGATATAGGAAGATATAAACAAGTAGAAAAATGAGAAAATAATTGGGACTACATAAAAATAAAGAAGTTCTGCACAGAAAAAGAAACCATTAATAAAATGAAAACAAAGCCCACTGTATGGGAGAACATATTTGGCAATACTACATCTGATAAAGGGTTAATATTAAAAATATATAAGGAACTAATACAACTTAACAAAAGGAAGGCAAACAATTCAATTAAAAAATAGGCAAAGGACCTAAATAGACACTTCTCCAAAGTGAACATACAAGTGACCAGGACGTAAGAAAAAATGCTCAAAGTCACTAATTATCAGAGAGATGCAAATTAAAATGACAATGAGATATCACCTCACACCTGTCGGATTGGCTACCATCAACAAATCAACAATGACATGTGCTGGTGAGGATGTGGAGAAAAGGGAACCCTTGTGTACTGCTGGTGGGAATGCAGACTGGTGCAGCTATTATGGAAAACAGTATGGAGTTTCCTGAAAAATTTAAACATGAAACTGCCATTTGACCCAGTGATTCCACTTCTAGGAATATATCCTAAGAAACCTGAAACACTAATCAGAAAGAATGTATGCACCCCTATGTTCATAGCAACACAATTTACAATAGCTAAGACCTGGAAACAGCCCAAGTTGCCCATCAGTAAATGAGTGGGTAAAAAAAGCTGTGGTACATTTACACCATGGAATACTACGCAGCAGTAAAAAAGAAGGGCCTCACCTTGTCTGGTTTTGATAGAGCATCGCTTGTGGACTGAAGGATCCCACATTTGATTCCTGTCAAGAGCATGTACCTCAGTTGCAGGCTCCTCCTTAGCTTGGGCCCTGGTCGGGACACGTGAAGGAGGCAACCAATTGATGTGTTTCTCTCACATTGATGTTTCTCTCTGTATTTCCCTCTCTCTTCCACTCTCTCTAAAAAATCAATGGGAAAAGTGTCCTGGAGAGACCTGGAGAGCATTATGCTAATCGAAATAAGCCAGTTAGAGAAAGACAAGTATCACATGATCTCACTCATATGTGGAATTTAATAAAACAAAATACATCCAGAGACATGGAAGCATGGAACAGACTGTGGAATGGGAAGGCAGAGGGTCTGTGGGTGGGTGGGAAGAGATCAACCAAAGAACTTGTATGCATATATGCATCACCCATGGACACAGACAATAGGGTGGTGAAGGCCTGGGGCAGTGGATGGGGGCGGGTTAGAAGGAATCAATGTGGGGGGGGGAGGGTATCTTACTGTATCTAATACTTTCAACTATAAAGATTTAATTTAAAAAAACACACACACACAAAAACCCAATACAGTGACATCAGAAAAATGGTGGCATGAGACTTCCCCTTGTTCTCTCCCCTTGAAGTTAAAACAAGCAGAACAGCTGTAACTCAACAAAGGATTCCCTGCCTACTACACAAACTTGTCTGAGAGATCTGTGCTTCGAAACATCTGAAGTTGATAGAGTGGGAGCAAAGCAAAGAGGAAGAAAAAGAGAGGAGCTAAGACTGTGCTACTGACAGACCAAAGCTCACTGTGGGTCTCTGGACAGGGGGAGGAATCAGGTTGCTGTTAACACTCCCTTTAACTGGGAGAAGCAGAGAGAAACTACAAGCATTCCTCCGGGAGTGGTCCATATGCACTGTGGCTGAAACCAGTGACCTGAGCATAAATAAAACACTGAGGTAGGTCACAGTTGTCTGGCAGTCGCCATCACCAGATAGAAAAACAAAGTCACAGAGCCAGGCTGCTTCCCTTCACCCTCATAGAGCTGGCATCAGGCCTCAGA